TACAAGAGAAGACACTGCATGTAAGATCTCTCTTGGAAATGGATTACCTCTTGATGTATCCTGACTTGGATCTTCCTGAGAGTTCCCCCTGAAAAACAGCTCCTGAAGGGGTTTTGACATATTCCTCTGTGCCTTGGGATCTGTGATCTCCACATTGAAGGACTTGAAATAGGAAGCAGGAGAAAGAAGGAAAATTAACAGATATCACACAACATGAAGTTGGTTCATGTTCTCTAAACACAACTTCAATGCCCCAAATATCAATCAGAGATCCTGGCATATAACAAAGAAAAAGCTGAGTCCAATTTCTCTTCAGGAATGGTTAATGGAACAATTTTCTACTAGAATTAGGGAAACATCTCCATGAAGACAGGAGAAGCCTGGAAGGGAGGGGTGAAGGATGAAAACACATTCTTTATTCCCTTCCGGACTCTCGAGACAAAGACCTCTTACCTGCAACTCAACCTGCTCCTTCTGCTCCTCTGCTTGGCTTAGGAGGAAGCCTTCCGCCAGGGCCACCGCCTGGGAACTGGTCTCTGCTCCACACTCCAGCACCCAGCTTTCCATCGCTGGGGGCAGAACAGCCAGGAACTGCTCCAGAACAACCAAATCCAGCATCTGAGCCTTGGTGTGCTTTTCTGGTCTCAGCCATTGCGTACAAAAGTTGTGGAGTCGGCTGCAAAGTCCTCGGGGACCTTCAGCCTCTTTGTATTGGAGGTTTCTGAACTTCCAAGGCTGAACTTCAGAATGGATGATGGTTTCTTTTTCCAGGATCTTCTGACCAGTTCTTGCCCAGATCTTTCCACAGCTGCCAGACTCAACAGCCAAAGGGTCTTTGTCTGTTCCCTCACGTGGTAAAGGTTGTTCCTCCATTCCTTCTTTTGTCCTGTAATGCAATTCCAAACAGGTTTGAGGAATCCTGTGGATCTCCAAACACTTTTCAATTCATAGGATAGTTTTGGTAACAATAGCACTTAGACTTATATGCCACCGGATAGTGCTTTACACCACTATTTTGTTTATGATGTGAAGGTGGTGGATTTAATCACTGAATCACACTTATCCCCATGGAAGGAAGTATCTTCCTGGTGAAGGATTGCGGTGGAATTGAGCAAATGGATCCTCTGGGTGTTTCTGTGACTATTTCTTGGTGTGGTGCAAAATATGTTTCCAGCTCATATTCCCAAACTTGGAATATAAAACAAATGAGCCTTGGAGCATTTTCTATTTCTTTATTCTCCCAAGAGAAGGCTAACTTTAAAAATTTAAGATCTACCTTTATAATCAGCTTTCCTACAATGTGCCAAACCCCAAAAAGGTTAACAAAGGGATGGAATACAGAATATTTATATATCTTCCTTATTGAGATACATTTCATTTAGAATCTGCCTCTCTCCTTGTATGTTTCTTGGCCTTGACCTGGAGCCATGGAAGAGAGATAAAGAGGAAATGTCAAAATGGCTTCTCCGCAAAAAAAAGAAGTTTGTCTTCGTGAGTTGCTTCAGTTAGAAAAGGAAGGAAAACCCCCAATATGGAATAATACTGAGTGAAAAGAATCTGGAAAGAACAACATTTTAACAATGCTATGAAGGTTGAGTTCAAATCAAATGACATGCCAAGGAAATGACCCTGGCTTAAAATGCTCCATTTCCAGTTTATAGGATTTACGTTTTAGGGACAAAGTCACACTATTACACAAAGGCAGCTTCACACAATTTGCCTTGAGCCCCAACTAGGAAACCAATCCCAAAGGCCAAGTTCACATAAAACACAGGGCTTGAAAGAATGTAAGATGATGTCTGATTCAGTCTCCCACATAAGACAGGTTGAATTGTGGAAGACCTGACTTGGCTTTGACTCCAGAGCGATTTCCTGCTTACATATATAAAATGAAAAACTTTCCAGAAACACGGAGTGACTAGTTTAACTACTGAGAATCCTTCCCCAAAGAAAAAGAAGAATATATTCCGTGCCACTGAGGAAAATTCAGGAGAATCGTTGTAGATCAACTTCTATTAAAATACTAGACAAATATATTTAATGTATGTTTTGGATTTCACTTTCCTAATCATTTATTCTAATGATCTCTATGGCCAGGTAGAAAGGTAAATGCCAGGTCACAAACAGCAATTGATATCATAAGTAAATATATGAACATTTGAACTTATACTAAGACTTTAGTCAGCAGAAACCCATTGTCCTCCTGGCCCCAAACTCCCGAAACCCAAATTAGCAAACAACCATCCAATATACGACTAATACCTGAATAAACCACCTACAGCTTAACTTGTTCTATTTTCATGCAATTCTTAGAAGCAGTGTGCCATTTTTTATAGACAAATCCTGTTATTTTTTCCAACTTCAAGTCCCAAACTTTAAAGTAGGCAATATGAAAAACCCTATGAGGCACACAGTGCGAATGCTGCGTCTCAGCCCCACTTTTGCACCTCCAGCCCTGCAACCTTTGTCTGCCAGCTTTGCGGTCGTGGGGAAAGGCTGGGAAGCATCACCCCACTTCCAGTCCTCGCACACGGGGCGCCGTCCTTGCACCCAGGGCCAGCAGGAGGACTTCGGGACAGCCTGCCCCTCCCCCCATGCAGAGGCTCCCCCAGGAAATGGGGGGGAAACGAGCCTCCTCTTCGGGCGACCCCCACTTCTCTCCTTGGCTTCCCTCCCACCTGGCTCCCGCATGGGAAAAGGCGGCAGGGGAACATGGGACCACAGACTCTAACCACGCAGGAAGACTTGGTTCCTCTCCACGCAGCCCTCCAGCGCGGGACCCCTTTGCACGGGCACAGCCGCCACTCACGCAACTCGGGAGTCCCGTCGGGATGCCCCGTCTCCGAAAAGGCTTCCCGGCAGCCTCTGCAAAGGCCCCCTCCCCCTGCAAAGGCCCCGCCCCCCAGCCTCACAGCGGGGTTCCCGGGAGGGCAGAAAGGGCAGAGGTGCCTCCAGTCTCTTCCGACGAACGCCCCGGGCAACACGTGCCTTGTGCCCACTGAAGAATCCAGCGCATGCTCAGTTCCCTCCTGAAGCTGAGCGCGCCCCCTGGTGGATTCTTGCCCGTAACGAGACTCTTCAAGGGCGGGAAATTTACCTCACAAGGATGCTCCTGGATGGAGAAATGAAGAGGGGTGTGTGTGAAAATGGCGTCTCATCTGTGACTGGAGAAAAAATTGGATTACCAAACGATGGAAGAAAAAAAATTGAAAGGGAATATAAAGCTCAGATACCATGAAGGGAAAAAGAAGAGAAGAAATGTGTTGCGTGTCAGGGAATTTGCCTTGGGATAACTAAAGAATTGAAATGGAGGGAAAGTGGCAAAAAATCTATTTCAAAGCAATGTTCTCTGTCCAGATTCCTTCAAATCGCTGTCTAATTTTGTACCTCTGCCTGTGCGGAAGGGGAGCCGGAGTTGCTGTCTGGGCTTGGGAAGAGCCTTTTCAACCAGGCACCACTTTTGCCCCCACAGCCCCCGAGCTCTGCACAGCTCCTGTTTTTCCCCAAAGGGCCCTGCATGTTTCCAGGCCCAGAAACTTGAGAGATCGGCTCTGGCACTGAGGCATTCATCCTCCCATTCAGCGTTTGCTCATAAACATTCATTCATTCATTCATTCATTCATTCATTTATTAAATTTATATGCCGCCCCTCTGCGGAGACTTAGGGCGGCATATAAATATCCACACCAATGTTCCACTTGTCTGATGAATTGAATCACAGCTGTCAAAAGTCCAGAGACTGCTATACCCACCCAGCTCTTTAGCTCAGACAAGCAGATACCAAGACAGAGTAGCTAAGTGTGTATGAGAAGAGATCAGAAAACGGCAAACGGAAGGAAACTGTTGTATGGAGATTGGCAACTATTTCAGGCAGGCAAGAGGGTTGTTGGTCCACCGCCAAAACCAGAAGCTACGATGAGCAGTGTATCTGTGGATTTTTGCCAGGAGCTGGGCCACAATCAAAAAAGCAACCACATTGGAGCAGCCCTTCATCCCAACCAGTGTGATGGTAGTATGGTACCTTACAGACATCGGGATTTTTGTTGGGACTGAGTATTGGCAGTACCAATTTGCAAGATCTGGAAAGATGAAGTTAACGCAGAGCAATAGCCTGTTGTTGAAGGGTTGTGCCACAATAAATCATTGCATGTAGCTGTGCTGTGCTGTGGTATATCCAATCCTGGAAAGCAAAATCCCCCTACGTTACTCATCTGATTTCCATGTGTGTAATGAGAAATGACAGTGTTGCTTCCCTTTATTAACAATCTCCAGTGAAGAGGAGACTGAGGCTGTTGTAACCCTCCTCCAGGGCCGGATTTTCCTATAGGCTAACTAGGCTTCAGCCTAGGGCCTCAAGAGCAAGAGGAGCCTACATTCAAATTGTTAGCAAAATTAAAATTACACTTTCACTATAGGTGAAAGGGCCTCATAAGTGGAATAGCCTAGGGCCTCTTTTCATCTAAATCCGGCCCTGCCCTCCTCCCTTGCAGCACTAAAACTCTACATTTCACTAGGAAAAATTCCTACTCATTTTCAGGTGCTTATTTTAATACAGTGAAGAGAAAAAGGATTTAATATATCACTGCAAAGTAACACCAATGATATTTAATTTTTTATTTAAATCTTATTTATTCTTAGCCCTTGTGACACAATAGAAAGGTATAATATGGCCCCGATGCTTGAAAAGTTTTTGCACAGGCATTTGAGAGGTTTATCTTTTTTATTCCTTTTTTGTGACAGAATCGACATCCTGAATCTCTTTCTACAGTCTACATCACCATGTATGTGAGGATTCGATTCTCCACATGATCATTTAGGAGGACAGAGTAGTGTCTGTTCACTGATAAACTGTGAGCATATTAAGGAATGAGAAAGGCGGGGGAAAGACTAGGTAAAAGTTCAAATTATGGGAAGTGGCTATTGACCAGGTGTTCACCTGTATGTCCATCTGTATGTCTGCATAGTGGAAGGAAGACTAAAGCATTTTGAAGAAGTGCCTCGAGGATTTTACTACTTTTATTGCTGGGGAGAGCATACCTGCAAAATGTCTACCTGTTGATAACCCTCCCACAATGAGGATCAAGTAGAAAGAACAATTTGTGTAAAGTTCCCTTGTGAGACCACAATATTGACAGCTTATTATAAAATTGCATAGTCCAGAATCTGAGATGATTAAAACAGACATTTTCTTGAAATTGACCCCAATTGGAAACTAGATAAACTTAAAGAAAAAAAAAGATTTTCATTATTGATATAAAATAGTGTTGGCCACTGTCAAATTGACACTAACATGAAAAATCCACACCAGTATTAAAACAGCTGTGTCCATAGTTTGTGTTTGTTTCCATTGGTAATATTATCTCTGCGGTTTCAAGTTGTGAGCGCACTCAAAAAAAAAACCCCACTTCCTATACATAAATAGGAAATGCATAGATTTCACCAACTAAATCTGGAATTTTAATGGATTTGCACCAAAATGGATCTGTGTATGGAAAATTAGGTCATTTTCCCACTCCACACATTCATATGGCTTTGCCCCTGAATGGATTCTTTTATGTCTCATAAGAGATGCAATTTGACAGAAGCCCTTTCCACACTCCATGCACTTGAACAGCTCCTCTCCTGTGTGGATCCTTTTATGAGAGTTGAGATAACTGCTCGTAGTAAAGTCCTTTCCACACTCTGCACATTTATACGGCTTCTCCCCTGTGTGGATCCTTTTATGGGAAGTAAAGGAACTCCTTTGACTGAATCCCTTTCCACACTCCATGCATTTATACGGCTTTTCCCCTGTGTGGATCCTTTTATGGGAAGTAAAGGAACTATTATGACTGAAGCTCTTTCCACACTCCGTGCATTGATATGGCTTCTCCCCTGTGTGTTTCCTTTTATGCGAAGTAAGTTGACTGCTCTGAATAAAGGTCTTTCCACACTCCATACATTGATATGGTTTCTCTCCTGTGTGGATCATTTTATGAGATGTAAGGGAACGGCTCTCTCTGAAACTCTTTCCACACTCTGTGCACTTATATGGCTTCTCCTCTGTGTGGATTCTTTTATGGGAGGTAAGATGACTGCTCTTAATAAAGCCCTTTCCACACTCAAGGCATTTATATGGTTTCTCCCCTGTGTGGATCCAGTTATGGGAAATAAAGGAACTCCTTTGACTGAAGCCCTTTCCACACTCCATACAGTTATATGGCTTCTCCCCTGTGTGGATCCATTTATGGGAAGTAAGATGACTGCTTTGAATAAAGGTCTTTCCACACTCCATGCATTGATATGGCTTCTCTCCTGTGTGGATCCTTTTATGAGATGTAAGGGAACGGCTCTCTCTGAAACTCTTTCCACATTCCATGCACTTATATGGCTTCTCCTCTGTGTGGATTCGTGCATGGGAAGTAAGATGGCTGTTCTTAATAAAGGCTTTTCCACACTCCATGCATTTATAAGGCTTCTCCCCTGTGTGGATCCAGTTATGGTAAGTAAGATGACTGCTTGTTCTGAAGCTCTTTCCACATTCCAAGCACTTATATGGCTTTTCCCCTGTGTGGATCCTTTTATGAACAGTAAGAGAGATGTTTTCACAGAAGCTCTTTCCACACTCCAGACATTTATAAGGCTTCTCCCCTATGTGGATCCAGTTATGGGAAGTAAGATGACTGCTTCTTCTGAAGCTTTTTCCACATTCCAAACATGTATATGACTTCTCTCCTACCTGGATGCTTTTCTGATATGTACGGGACCCATTTTCACAAGAAAGAGTGGAATTTTTTTTATTGTCTTTGCATATTTTACTTTCTCCTTTGGTTTGGGTTGGATAGTGTTCATTCACAACAAACTTGTCTTTGAATAGTTTTACGTTTTTTGTAATGTATTTTTTCTTTATTTTTCCTTGTTGAGCAAGAAAGTCTTGCATTGGAGTTTCAATGGAAGATAAACTTTCCTGATTCCAATTATTTGACTGGTTTATCTCATGCATCTCTACTTCCATTTGATTTGCAGGCTTCTCCAGTCTGTTTTTATGAGTGATCACTCGGAATTGTTCTGTGGAATTTTCATTTTCCTGTCCATTATTACCTTCAAAAAAAAGGAGAAATAAAAATGATTTATGTATATGACAAAGATCAAACTGCAGGAAGTTTGAACATAATAAAAAACAAGCTGCACCAATCTTCTTATATACAGAGCTTTGAGAATTTGAACTGAACAGTGTTGATTTAAATTTCTGGAAGACATGTACTTTGAAGAGAATTTCCTTAAATGGGTAAAATCGATCTAATCTTTGCATAAAGTACAACTAATTGGAAATTTAACAATCCTTGTACAATACAAAAAGAGAAGATAAGGATGCCCTCTGTTTTTTCTTGCCGAGTTTTGAATTTGGGAGATCTTCTGGAGGAATAGAAATACCAATGTGGAGAAATTTAAGGAATTTGGCATTTTAATGAACTTTAATAATTTAAAGGAGCCTGAGTGGCGCAGCAGATTAATGCTACTGTTAAAGGTAGTATTTAGCTTCCAGCTGCCTGCAATTACTGCGAGTTCAATTCTCACCAGGCTCAAGGTTGACTCAGCCTTCCATCCCTTCTAAGGTAGGTAAAATGAGGACCTGGTTTGTGGGGGCAATAAGCTGACTTTGTATAAAATATACAAAAGTATGGAGGCTATTGCTTAACACATTGTAAGCCGCCCTGAGTCTCCGGAGAAGGGCGGCATATAAATCAAAATTAAAAAAAAAAATAAAAAAAATAAAGACGCCGTTGATGAAAAATAGAAAAATGAAAGATGAAATAAAATTGATGGGAAAATTGGTTTTAAAACTGAGATAAACTTCAGTATTATTATGACAAATATATAATAATAAATAATTATTATATTATAAATAAAATTATTTATAATATATTATTTATTATTATTTATAATCAATCAATCAATCAATCATCACCATCACCACCCACCGAGCTTCGGATGGTGCCTGATCTCCGCTCCTTCCGTTGGGACTTAAAGATTTGGCTGTTTCAACAAATGGGTTGACCCTGATCCTTGGGTTTTATTACTTTATAGTCGTTGTTTTAACTGGGTTTTAATTACATTACCTTTTATTATTGTATGTTTTAACCTGTGTTCGCCGCCCTGAGTCCTTAGGGAGAAGGGCGGCATATAATTTTTTGGAAATAAATAAAATAAATAAATAAATATGAACTGATAAAGGAGAATATTTGTAGCTCAGTGTTATAACACTGGTGCTGATGATGTTACGTAATATCATGGATAATGAAGCATCTGCAAGAAAACAACCAAGCTCAGAGAGCATCTAGGGCCCCCTCCCCATGAACGCTATATTATTTCAAAACAATTCTTTTAAAACATGGAGTGAAAGAAGGATATGGTAAGCTAGGAGAAAACACATGTCATTGGAAAGAATTTCCATGATAAAAATTAACATTGTCCTAGAATGATGTTTTTGTTTCAAAAAATATCTTTTAAGACAACCGATTTACATTTATACCAGATTTGTCCAACCTGCGCCTCACAAGCCACATGTGGGCATGGACAAAGCAAGTAATGCCACCACATAAGATATAAAAATATTTTTAAAAATCAAATAAGTTTGCTATTTATATACATTGATTATATATTATGATTATATAATAAAGCTAAGGGTAATGTAGATTTTTAAAACGATTTTAGAAGTGCCGTATTGAGAATATGCAACAGATAGAAACCCAGATTGTGATTACAGCTCCCACCATAATAAGCATTTTACAGAAGAGAAATAGCTTGCAAAGACAATAACATGTCAAGAGCCATTAGAACTTGAGCAAGAGGAATATCAAATGAAATCACAAGAGTAATTGATGGCAGAAGGATATAGTAGGCACTGGTTTTCATGCTCTCATCAAAAAGATTCAAGGTAGATAAAAGAACCTATGATATTCAACATAAGATAGAATTTGAATTTTGATTATGTAGAAAAGATGATGAACATGTAACTGCTTAAAGCTATAAGCAGGTTAAAGAATGTATGATAAAATTGTCAAAGGTTTTCATAATATACAGATGTAATAAAATATGTGGTTGAAAGGAGTGAAATTTACATTATGTTATAATCTAAAAGGCAACTTTTATAAACCGATGTAACACACAAATTTTCAGAAGTGTATAAAGGTACCTCAGACTTATACTGGAAATGTGGACAACATCAAGACTGTCATGTTTTGGTGGACAGGTAAAAAAGGTAGAAAATTTTGGATTTAAATACATTAAAACAGAGAATTTTAAAAATAAATATCCAACTGGAATCAGAACACTTTATGTTGGCACTAATGAACAGACAGCTGGAAAAGAGTCATTGAAGATTGTTTCTGACTTCATACGATAACTGCAGTGGGACTATTATACTTGCAAAGCTGGAAGACTTGTACTAAAAATACAATGGTGGAATGGTTGATGGAGATGACAGGATTATCAAAGATGATTTGATAAAAGAGAGCTTAGAAAGAGTGCAGAGAAGAACAACAAAGAGGATTAGGAGACTGGAAGCTAAAATGTATGAGGAATGGTTGCAGGAACTGGGTATGTCTGGTTTGATGAAAAGGACTAGGGGTGACATAGCAGTGTTCTAATATCTCAGGGGTTGCCACAAAGAAGAGGGAGTCAAGCTACTCTCCAAAGCACCTGAGAGCAGGACAAGAAGCAATGAATGGAAACTAATCAAGGAAAGAAGCAATCTAGAACGAGGAATAAATTTCCTGACAGTTAGAACAATTAACCAGTGGAACAACTCGCCTCCAGAAGTCGTGAATGCTCCAACACTGGAAGTTTTTAAGAAGAGGTTGGATAACCATTTGTCTGAAGTGGTGTAGGGTTTCCTCCATAAGCAGGGGGTTGGACTAGAAGACCTCCAAGGTCCCTTCTAATCCCTTCTAACTCTGTTGTTCTGTCCTGTCCTGTCCTGTTGTTCTGTCCTGTTGTTCTGTCCTGTTGTTCTGTTCTGTTCTGTTCTGTTCTGTTCTGTTCTGTTCTGTTCTGTTCTGTTCTATTCTATTCTATTCTATTCTATTCTATTCTATTCTATTCTATTCTATTCTATTCTATTCTGACTTATTTGATTAGAGGAAACACAGTATATTGATTAGTGATTGGAAATCCCTGTTGGAATTTTGCTACAAAAATACAAAAAATGAACTTGTGATCTGCAAGTTTGAAGGTTAGAAAGGATTCATTACGTAAAAGGGAAAACTATTGTGTAACCTTAGAGAAAGAAGCTAAATTTTAACATTTAATACGGTTTCTAGTCTTGTTTCCTTTTTTCATTTTATTATACTTTTTTCTTATTCATTGATCACCTTACTCTAGCTTCATTTCCCCTTCAAAACGTGTACTGTTTTTATTCTGATTCAAGTGCTTTAATAATATAATAAAAATATATAGTTGATACCATTTAATTACAGAATATCTTCCCGAACACTCTGCCTGGGAAAAGCAAACTCTTACCCAGAGAGGCCACATTTGTATGATTTTCCAGCATGACTTCCCAATGCAGCGTTTTCTGGTGAGGATTCAGCTGTGACCACTCCTCCTCAGAGAAATACACAGCCACCTCCTCAAAAGACACAAGGCCCTCCTGAACAAGGAAAAACACAACAGAATAAAACCAGGGGAATTTACATGATCTGCCCTATTGTTTAAATCACTGCAAACACAGATATAAATTTTCAGTGCCATTTAGTGAAAGGAACCCCAGCTTCCTTCTGGATCTATCTATCTATCTATCTATCTATCTATCTATCTATCTATCTATCTATCTATCTATCTATCTATCTATCTACCCATCCATCCATCCATCCATCCATCCTCAAGACTTTCTGCACCTGGAGATGGGCCTTGGAAACCCCACTTCTCAATGCAGAAGAAAACGAGGAATGAGATTCCTTTTAGCATTTTATTAAAAAGCTAGATGTAAGGCCTTTTACAAATGGTTATGTGCTAATGTGATTATTTCAGTTATTATTGAGCAGTCTTGCACAACTGTATGTCAAAGAATCACTCAAAGGATGTAAAAGGATCACTCTACTTAACAGATGCTAACACCGCGATAGCCTTATTTTTATTACGATGCTTCTCTTACTTCAGTTGTAGGTTCAACTATTGTTTCAGTTCCATCATAAGCAGGCGTTATCTTCATTCTATTCTTCACTGCAAGGGAGACAGAATTTTAACATGCAAAATTAACAAAATAGGACAAGCTATTCTATAGAGAGAGGATAAAAGAGAAAATGAGATAGCTGGGATTTCTCTGGGAAGTGGGAGAACCTGGGGTTTCTCTAGGGAGTGGGAGAATCTTCAATTACCTCCTGAGATGTCCTGACTTGGATCTTCCTGAGAGATCCTCCTCCAAAACACGTCCTGAAGGGGATTTGATGGACTTCTCCATCCACCAGGACCTCTGATCTTCACAACAGACTTGAAATAGGAGAAAGGACAAAAGAAGAAGAGTTAGTGAACACTCCAGAACATTTAGGTTGATTCTTGTTCTCTGAACACAAATCTGAAAACCCCCACTATCCATCAGTGAGGCTGAATGAGAAACAAATGGAACAATATCCTACAAGGATTAGGAAAAGATCTCTATGCAGTTTGAATGCCAGATAAATCTTGGCGGGAGGGGTGAAGAATTCAAACATATTCTTTATTCACTAAAGG